ACACAAGTAAATTCTGACACACCTTCCATTTAAACTCCATATCAATTTGGAATTTATTTTTGATTTGCTCTCTGAGCTTGATGGCCTTTAGATATATGTATATGGCGTTTATTAAACCATTAATTTCATTAATAGAAAATATGAAATTGTAAAAATTTGTGAACTGTATTTAATATAAATAAAAAAGGATTTAGTACCCCAGGTACAGTAATTCAACTACATTGGAGAATCCACCCTCTTCGGAGGTCGGCTCTACGGATTCTGAGGAGAGACATTTATTGCATTTGATTGATCCATTCAGGAGGAACGCGAAAACCCGGCGTTCACCACCTACATCTGATGTGCGGATTTTAGAAAAGAATAAAAATATAGAAGGTGACTACCGAACACTCAAGCTTCACAGACCAATAGAAATATAAGCATGAGTAAAGCTCAAGCCAAAAAAAGTGATGATCATGCTGACATACATAAAAGGATTAGCCAACTAGAACAGCTCTGTGTGGCTTTGAAAAACGAGGTTCTTCAACTGAGGGCTGAGAATGAGAAGCTAAAGAAAGAGAAACATGGGCAAATTAAAAACAATAAGTCTAATGAGAGTAGTCATAAAGAAAAAGACGCCGCGACAGAAGCAAATCAGGTGAGGTCAATCTTGGACGCCTACTCAACAGATGAGGAAGAACTCGCCAGAGAAACAGATTGGATCCTAAAGCAAAAGAGGTTCAGTAAAAAACTAAAAGCGGAATCATCTCCGGAAGTGGTTCAAGCGACGATCAACGCTGAGAAAGCGGATGTTCCTGATTCTAAAAGTCGAGGCGATGTCACGAAAAACTCTAGGCCGTCTCCAGTAGTCATAAGTAATGTGGTTGACTATAATCAAATAGAGTCAACATTGAAAAATAAGGACATCAATTATAAGGTTAAAATAATGAATAACAATCAATTTAAGCTTATTGTAAATTCCGAAATGGACTACAGGAATCTTACCAGAGCCATGAATGGATCTGGACTAGAATGGCATACCTATGAAAACAAGCAGGCCAGACCAATAAAAGTCATGATATGAAATCTTCAACCCAGTTGTAAACCGGAAGATATAAAGGAAGATCTAAGCTCTAGGGGTTACAATTAAAAATTAAAAAAATAAAAGAAAATGGGAAAAACATTATGGTACCTCTACCGCTGTTAATGTTAACATTCTCAAATGAAGAGATGAAAAACATTTATGAAATCGACCATATAAACAGGATGAAAGTTAGGATAGAGGCACATCGAAAGGATAGAACCATTCCGCAGTGTAAAAGGTGTCAAAGGTACGGGCATACACAAAAATTTTGCCAGAGAGAACCGAATTGTGTTGAATGTGCAGGCAGGCACTTAACATCAGATTGTAGTAAGCCGAAGAGTACTGCAGCAAAGTGTTCCAATTGCTTGGAGGCTCACCCAGCAAACTATAGGGGATGCCTTGTAGCAAAGGAACTCCAAAAACGTAGAAATAAGAACAGCAACAACAACTTGAAGAATTCTGAACGGCCACCGAGGCAATTCACCTCGAGAATAGTCTTGAAAGATGTAACATACAAGGACGTTCTCCAAACGAAAACTGATGACGGTGGCACGAGCAATAAAGCATGGCCCAGTGACGTGAATGTTTTGTATAAAATGCAAAATATGATGCAGAACATGCTAGATATGATGAACAAAGTCTCTCAGAGATTGAGCATTTTAGAGAGTGAAGGGAAAAAATCGAATACCAAAAGACCTGGTAAATGATTGCTCGAGGTAATTTTAAAATAGCAACATGGAATTGCAATGGTATTGCAAATAAAAAGGACATGCTTGAAGTTTTTTTACATACACAGAATATAGGCGTGTGCCTCGTAACTGAAACACATCTGACCTTAAGAAGCAGGATTCGGGTTCCAGGTTATAGAATTTACAACTCAAATCACCCCGGAAATATATCGAAGGGCGGAACGGCGATAATAATAAAAGAAAATGTGGTGCATTGCGATCTGCACCAGATGAAAACCGAGGGAATTCAAGTGACAGCGGTTCAGATCACTTCGACTAAGCAAAAATTTAGAGTGGCTGCATTATATTGTCACCCCAAATTTAAAATTACGGCAAAAATGTTTCAAAACGTTCTGACAGACCTAGGCGATAGATTTATATTGGGGAGGGGGGGGGGGGGTGACTTTAACGCCAAGCACATTGATTGGGGTTCAAGGCATACTTCAACTAGAGGAAGAGAACTTAGGACAGCAATTGGCTCTAAATCTAAAGAAAAGAATAAGAAACACATAGATGAGGAGGCCGAAAACTTTACTAAAATTATTCAAAATGCGGCTTGGAGTAGTTCCAAAATAATGTTATTAAAAGGGGAGGCATTAACTATCCCCCCCCCCCCCCACATATACTAGCAAAAGTAGGACAAAGCAGGCGGGCGAGAAAGAAGTGGCAACAACGCGTGATCCTACTGATAAAACCAGATATAATCGTGAATCGCAGCAACTAAGACGCTGTATTAGAAAATACAAGGAGGATTCGGTTGCCAATTACGTCAAAATTTGACGGCGTGTGAGAAAACCAATTACTCACTGTGGAGGGCAACAAAGAAAATGAAGCAACCTATTAAACATCTCGCTCCTATTAAAAACAAAGATGGAACGTGGGCAAAAACAGAGAAGGACAAGACAAATGCGTTTGCGGATCATTTGGTCGATATATTCTGTCCGCATGACAGTCAGAGCGTGTATGAAAATGAGGAATCTGCTTTTGTTGAGGGTAGCGTGACTATTCTAGTTGTAAGGGAAAGAGATGTTATAGAAAAAATCAGGACTCCTAAACCTAAAAAGGCCCCGGGATTTGACCTAATACTGCCCGATATTTTTAAAAAATTACACAAACCTGTCAAACCTATAGACAGGGCGACTTTTTATAGACCAATCTCATTGTTGCCGATGATTTCAAAACATCGAGGCAGCTCGATTGGTTGACAATCAAAACTTTGTTAGGAGACTTAAACGTACGAGACCTCTCGAGTTAGTTTAAAGCTTTTTATCTGGAACAATGAGTACTTAGTACGCTATTGTGCCAAATCAAAAGGTTGTAAATAATCAAAAAAGTTAGGAGGGTGTTTTTTAGTGGATTAAAGTTCCACATTACTGCTTTTCGTCTGGCAGTGTTTTTCGAGATTTTTCACCCCTCCTCTCGGTAAAACAAAAAAAAAAAATATAGGTCTAATTTTGAAATAAACTTTTAAAAGAAAAAAATGTGACATCATGAAAAAAATTTCTCGTATTAAAAAAACAATAACTTGAAAAATAAAATTTTCTGACATAACCATAAAAAACATACATACATTTATGTGACCACTTTATGATTTTAAAATTTTATAAAACACTGAATGTTAAGAAATTTCTTTACAAAATTTTAAAAAACTTTAAACATTGAGAAAGTGCTGGTGGCCTACTATGTAGGCTAGTTTCGCTTAACTACCGTCGGTTTAATAATGCGCTTACGACGTAAACATTACACAGTATCACATTCCAAAAAGATTAATAAAATCTCTTGCCATTGTACACTTTTCCTAAATGCGTTCTATACGTATACGTAAAATAAAAGTAAATTGGGTATCGAAAAAATCGAGAACGTTTTTCTCATACATGTCATATAAATGCTGCCAGAAATAACCAATTCAATAAACTAGCATATATTTGCAGCAATAAAGTGTTATGTATTAAGTTTTTTCCCTGAATGCTATATTTTCAATGATATGGTAACGTTTGTTGAAAATAAACATTTTCACAGAACTTCAAATTGAAAATTTCAAACAAACGTCAAAATATGTATTAATATTGTAAAAATTGTAACGTATCCCAAAATGTACCAAAAGCTTTAGCAGTTTTACAATGTAAAGGTATTGAAATTTGCGTATGCGAAAGTAGCAAAAATTATACTACAGAATCTTCGCATACTTCTTTGCATTCACTTTCCATTTTGTTTGCGAAGATTATTGTGAAAGTTTTTGAAAAAATAAAACTAAACAATGTAAGTGTTGCATTTATTTTGCTTCATTAAATTGAAAAAATCTTGCATTTAAAATTTACTGGAATTATATAAATTTTTGTAATTAATAATTTTAATTATAGCTCCAAATAAAATATCAAAATACCACTATGCCAAATTTGTTTCGCTTCTCTTTTCTCGACTTTGCTCCTTTCCAGTTTTATTTTTTGGGTCTGAACTTTTCATCTATAGGCTTACAAACTTCGGTTATAATAAGTATTATGAATTGAGCAAGAACAATATTTGAATCTTAACCTGCATAAAAGTCTGTTGTTATCCATATTTGTTTAAAAAATTAACAATAATCGCCTTCTTAATATTATACATACATTTAAATGTACGAATATTTTAAAATAATTCGAATGCTTACTTTGAAAAACCACTTCCGAATCGCAAATCGCTGTAAAAATGCGACTTTCGCATTTTTAAAGCTTTAAAAAACTTTCTTATGTCGGACACCTATTATGTAAAAAGAAATAATTTATTGGCGGATAGTGATTTCACAATATTATTGATTACTTTAGTACCCCTATTTTTCACACTGTTACTTTCGGCAAATAAATTAAATAGAAACCAATTTTTGTTTTAATAAAACTTATTTTTTTCAGAAAACATGGAAGCCATCTTAGCAACTTGTTTTAATTAATTTGCAAATATGTGTACGTATTAAGAACTAATTAATGTATTAATTTTATATAAACACATTAATTGGGCACATACGTATGTTTATACAAAAGATCATCCCTATTTTTGTTTTGACAGACTGTTGTACAACTAAATGTTTTCCAAGCCGAAAACACCGAAAATTTGTTTTTGTAGTTGTCATTATATGTCGATGTCGTTGCCATCTCATTAAGGGATAGACTCTCACTTTACTGTAGTACGTCTAATTACTGTAGTATAATACATGTAGTATAATACATCTATGTTGTAGACATACTAGATTAATAGAATGGCAGTAGAATACATCTTTTCTTTTCTCTCTAATATGCTTTTATAAGTATTTATTTTAGAAAAACAAATGAAACTTCAAAGTGGGACTACTAGAGCAGATTCATGCAAAGAAAATTGTTTGGTAAAAAACTAAAAGTATAGTATCAAATTGAAATTTTACAAAGTTTTATTTTGATATAATACTTTTTGTTCAAAAATTAGAAAATATTAAGACTTCAGTATTTTTTCAATGTTTAAAGCTTTTTGCAAGTTTTGTAAAGCAAAAAATTTTAAAATCAAATTATGTATTTTAAAAAAATTTAAAATCAAAAATTGAAAAAACGTTTTCTCCCGTCTTTTTTTTTTTTGAAATCAGATTGTTTTTTGCGAGAAGTTACTATTTTCTGTTTTTAAAAGTTTTTTAAGTTTTGTACAAGACTGACCTAATATGCATGTGAGCAAAATTTGAAACTGCAACAACACAAAGAATTTGTACAAACCTGAAATAAAAACAAACCGAAATTAAGAAAATAAAACCAGTTTGTTAAACTTAATTAAATCTACTACATTTTAAATCATTTAGCAAATCTGTTTTATTTTTTGGTAAGTTTTTGAGTCAATCAATAATTAACTTTAATATAAAGTATCTATGATTTTCAGAAGAACGCTTATAATGTTCATTCATGAAAATGATGTTCATCCGTATTATTCTGATATAATAATTTTTTCTAACAGTAATTTTTGTCCTCACAAAACTTTTATCACAAAAATATAAAATATTGCTTACTTTTCTTGTTCATCACAAAATATGCAAATTTTTATTGGGAATCTTCTCCCTTCTTTTGGTTGAAGTACTCTTGGAGAATCTAAAAATTCTTCTAGGAAAGGAGCTGTTTTCTAATTAGGCCGGAAATTATTATTGTGTCAATCTTCTGTTTTGACTTCTGTTGTTTAATGTTTATACTTGATTAGTCGACTTAAAAATTTTATAGTTTTAATTTTATAACCAAATTTTAGGTGTAAGAATTTGTTCAATTAAACGATATTTAATGAAATGAAGATATTTTCATATTTCGCTATTGCGGCAGGAATTAGATATGCTTTATATAAACATTCGTTTGATTTATTAAAAAACCGAGTAGAAATTTCAACGCCAGTGAATGCCCACAAAAGATGTAAGTTTTTTTCGGAACTGAAAATGTTCGCTCATTAAATTTTAAAATTTTAGTGTTGGAAGGAGTATTTTTGTATAATCGCGGCTACGACCCTTATTATGGCGATATAGTCCACGAACCACCGTTTGTATTGATTATTTTAGCATGGATTATCAACAATTTTCCTAAAATATTGCCACTTGCATACATAATTGCAGATTTAGTAACCGGCTTGATATTGAGTATGACGTCAAAATTCTTCTGTGATGCAAAAGTAAGTTAATTTGATAGGTATTTTATATGTATTATAATTGCTTTTTTGTCTCCCCTTTCTAGATTGAAAAACAAGTACAAGAAAAGCACAAATATGCTCCAGGCACAGAAAAAACCATTCAATTTGATGAAAAAGATAAAGATATAATTCCACATTACATACTTATTTCATATTTTTTTAACCCGTTTGCAATAATAAATTGCGCGGCCCTAACATCTACGGTGTTTAGTAATTTATTTCTAGCGTTATTCATGTACTTTTTATCAAAAAAAAATTCTTTTTGCCTCATATTTCTTGCATTTGAAACTACAAGAAACTTTTATGCTTTTGCTTTGATAACAACGGTTTTTGCTACTCTGCAAAAACCAACACTTTTCAAATATATTGCAGTGTTTTTTAGTTTTGTTACTATACTTACTTCATTTATTTTTATAAATTTTTTTTTAAATAAAAGCAACTGGTCGTTTATAAATTCTACAATTGCTTTCACGTAAGTATATTAAAAAAATAATAGTCTTGGATATTTATTAGGTATCGTTTTTAGATTTTTTTATCAAGATTTACAGCCCAACATTGGATTGTTCTGGTATTTCTTTACGGAAATGTTTGAACATTTTAGGACAATGTTTCTGATTACATTCCAAATGAACGCAACAGTGTTGTATTTAATACCGTTATCATTTCGTTTGAGGGAAGATTCTGTTAAACTTGCTACAGTTTTGATAGCTCTAATGGCAATATTTAAATCGTATCCATGCCTGGGAGATGTTTCACTATATTTGTCTTTGCTTCCAATCTGGAAGCAATGTTGGAAATGTAAATTTTGAATTAATATTTAATATTAAATTTATTTTGATTGTCGTGAATTTTGAAATAGTTATGGCACATAATTTCGTTGTTTTTTGCTTCTTCTTAATAAATATTTTAATAATGCCTGCTTTGTGGCACTTGTGGATATACTGCGGGTCAGCAAATGCTAATTTCTATTTTGGTGCAACTTTGGCATTTTCAACTGGACAGGTAAATCATTGAAATCTATTGTTTGTATTTGAAATTAATATAAACATAATATTTGTAGATTTTCTTAGTCACGGATCTTCTTTTTGCATATGCGAAATTGGAGTTTTGCTTAAAGCATGGCGAAAAAATCTTTGCTGGTGGAAAAGAAGCAAAAATAGTATTGGAATAAGCTGTAATATCTACTAACGTTTTCCCCAAGTGCATATTTCATTTTGGCAGTTGAATAAAATTTGTAAAAATAAATTATTGTTGCTGATTATTTCCATATATATACAGGTTGATTCAGTAAAGAATACAGTATTATATACCATTGTTTAGGGTAAAATGGGTAAAATTTTTATTCTAAACTAGTTTTCAAATTTCAAAGGTTTTTTTTTGCATGTAAACCCTTCCAAAAAGATAGAAGCTGATTGATAAAGGATTTGAAAGCAACATATTATGTATACAGTTTTGCATTTTATGTGCTTTCGGAATACCAAGCATTCGAACTTTGGAAAACAACAAGTTTTTCGCTTTTAATTTTTTTAATTTCCTTCAGTTCCTAAGTTGTAATGAGTTTAAAGATTACGTGAATAAATTTCATCCATACATACATATGTACATACATATATCGAAAATTTAATTATTAAAAATTTTTTCATAAATATGTATGTATGTATATTATTATCACTGCTTTCTGCAGGCACACATATTGTGATAAACTTTAGAAAATTAAATTATTAAAAAAAGTAATTCTTCATAACGTTTGTAGATAATGCAAAATTCTACTCAGTTCAAAAATACAAAATTAGCGTAACAAAAATAATTCATTTTATTATTTTTTTTATCCAAGAAAATAATTAACGAATTATTAATAAATATTAAATTAAAATTATATTTAGAGTGAAATATAATAAACGATTCTTATAATACCTAGAAGTTCAAACACTTTCTGCTGTTGGCTGCAGTTCAACGATAGTAAATTTTAACCATTCTTTAAAATTTACAATCGAATACAAATAAAAAGCAAGACCCAAGTTTCAAATCAAAAGTTTAGAAAAACAATTTTAGTTGGTTTCTTGGTTCGTATATGAAGTATAGGGAAAAATATTAAGCATTTCAAAGGCGTACAAAAGGTAAAAAATGTATTTTTATAAAACTACACGTTGTATCAGTTAATTAGCAATATGTCCATACAATTCTTTTTAGGTTTTTATGTAATTTTAGTTATACTAGGAAATATTTTCACATTGTTAATAAGTCTAACTCATTTATTTACTTATAGAAGTTTTAAAGTTCCTGATGTGGTAGCTTTAGTCAGGAAATTAGATTTACTAACAATGTTAAAACATTTCTTTATATGAGTAAAATTACATACCTAAAGAGAATTAAATGGACTTTTAATATAAAAAGAATACATATACAATTTTTAAAAATTGTATATGTATTCTTTTTATGTATAAACATTGTATATGTATATGTATAAAAATCACCTAAACTCCGAACGGATAAAACTGGTCCTACAGACCCACTATTACCTCTGCGCTAACTTGGTTTTTCCACATAGGAATTAAATAATTTCCATAAGGAAATTGGTATTTTGTGTTAAATCAAAAGGTCCTGTTCGTTTAAGTTTTTCTGTCATAACGCCATTGTCTAGCAGCCGAGTTGCTTCCATATTTACATGCTGTTCTAGACGAGTCCTATGCTTTGTACCACAGCTCCTAATTTCATCCGCAACCAAAGGAATTCCTAAGTTCTTGTGGATATCACTATTACGTACATACCATGGCGCATTTATCACGCCCCGTACAACTTTATTCTGGAAGGTTGGAATTCTGTGAATGTGAGTCTTCTTGGCACAACCCCACAGTTTAATGCCATAAAGCCATATTGATTTAATGATTAGGTTATAAATCAATATTTTATTATCAATTGCCAAATTGGACTTACGACCTAGGAGCCAATAATTTTCTCTACATTTATTTTCTAATTCTATGTGTTTCTTTTTTATAATTATGCGCTTTCCACCTTAACTTGACATCTAAAGTCATTCCTAGGTATTTTGTTGAGTTATGGTTGGCTACGTTCGTTCCATTTAAGTTAATTTGTGGTGGATTCACTATTTTCCGATTGGTGAAGTTTATTTGTGGTAGATCACTCGTGTAAAGCAAGTACAACGTTGGACATAATATACTGCCTTGTGGCACACCTGCTCTTATTTCTCTTAGCGTGGAGTATTCAGCGTCTTGTTTAATTCTAAATAATCTATCAGCTAAGTAAGATTCCAAAATTGCCACAAGTGGCGATGGTATAATTTTTTCCTAACTTAAATATGAGACCTTTGTGCCATTATTTGTATTCTAAAAATATAGAAGAGCAGATTTCTTTATTTTTTAGCTTTTTCTATAATATTCGTTATTCTATAGACCTGGTCTATTGTAGATTGGTTTCTTCTAAAACCAAATTTATGGTTTGGTATGGGGCCTCTATTTTCTATTATTGGCTTCAATCTCCTTAATAGCAGCTTTCAAAAGACTTAGATATCACTGTTCCATGCAGCTTTTTGTATCATTTTAATAAATCCTTCCAACTCAAGATCTAATTATTCTCTTGATTGTGTATTAATATTTACATCAATATTGTTTATTAAGTGTGGTTTAAATAATGTTCTAGTTATTTATTTAGTTTTAATATGACAGCAGAGTGATCTGAATTAAAATCATAATTATCTTCAAGGTTTAGAAAGTTTTCTGATATTTTTTTGGTTATAAAAAAGTCAGTAACATCAGGAATTTTGTTAGTGTTAGTAGGTTAATAAGTAGGAGTGTCAGTGGAGTGATAGCAACAACCTAGTTCTATAATAGCTTTTCTTAGCTCTCTTCCTCTATTTGGGGTGATTCTAGAACCCCAATGTGTATGTTTGGCATAGAGCCCTGCATGAATATAAACTAAAAAAGTGTGCAATATATTTTATGTTAACAAGAACACTATTTTGATATTGTTCTAGAATCTAGATTATTGCACACGTTTTACGATATAAAAAGCTTTATGTTATAGTTCATGTTTTTTTCCTTCTCTTTCGATAATCATTTTCGTTAACGCAGATCAAGTTTCATAAAATAGAATAAAGCTTTCTACTTTTTAACGTACATATGTATGTAGTGTACACTTACTTGAACATCGTTGTACAGTTAAATATTCCGTGACTTCAATAATGCGCTTACGACGTAAACTTTACAAAGTATCACATTCCAAAAAGTTTAGTAAAAGCTCTTGACATTGTACACTTTTCCAAAATGCGTTCTATACGTAGTGGATACGTAAAATAAAAGTAAATTGGGTATCGAAAAAATCGAGCACGCCTGTTTTTGTACAAGTCATATAAATGTTGCCAAAAATAATCAATTAAATAAACCAGTACATATTTTTAGCAATAAGGTGCTAGTTATTAAGTTTTTTCCCAAAATGCAGCATAAAAATGCTATGTTTTTAATGAAGTGGTAGCGTTTGTTAAAAATTAACGTTTGCGCAGAGCTGTAAATTCAAATTTTCAAATAAACGTCAAAGTATGTATTGAAATTAATGTCTTTATATATAACAAGTCCCAATACTCAATTTTTTTTACGAAATATTACGAATTTTTGGCTTCGTTGCCGGTTTTTTCTTTAAATGCCACTGATCGTGTCATATTTTTTATTATTTTTTTCTTTTTTTTAAGTAGAAAAGAGTTTAATATTTTAAAAAATCTCAGGATATTATACACATTTTTTAAAAAGCTTCCCATTAAAATTCTGTTGCACGAAAAAGAAAGAAAGGTAGGAGGGAAGATAAAATGAAAAAAAATTTGAAATTCATATTTCAGTATGGTTTCAAATGTTAATGAGGAAGGATGTATGTTTTTTCATGCACATTTTGTATTTCCCAATAAAATAAGTTGAGTAGTGTCGGCTAACAAAAATGTTATTAAAAGTAATATAGGTTGACACATTTCAACAATTTTATCTCATTTCGGTTATTTATACGTTACTTATAAAATTGTTTCAAATAATTTCAGTTAGTTTTTAAGTTATTAATAATAAATATGTATGTACCTACTTCCAATAATTTTTTTTTTAAATAATTTTTTTAAAACTATTTCAAACATGTTGAATGCTTCAAAAATTTTGCTGTACTCTTTTTTCATATTTTATTAGCAGGTAAACAAGAGCAATCTATTTATAAAATGTCCCTGCATGTGTATGTATGACCTATCTTAATTCTTAACGGAAAGAATATTACATAAAGAACAAAAATTTTAAAATACCTGTTATTTTACAGTCGGAATTTTTGAGTCATTTGGTAAAATACCATTTATTTCAAAAATAAAAAAAATATTCAAATCCGGTCATAAAAATATATGATTGTTTTTTTGAAACATTTTAAATATTTTTTTTTCTTAGGTAATTGATATAAATGATAGTAAGTTTTTAATATTTTTTCAAATAAAAATAGAGGTAAAATTTTGAAGTTTATATAAAATTTGTATTTAACAAATAGTATTTGATTGTATTTTAGATATTATTTTCTAATTCCCTCTTCAAATTTTTTCTTTACTATGTATTTATATCAATATTCAATAATTATCTTTCATTAATTATATTTTCAACTTGACACCAAAGTTACTCCCCATATCTTGAGTTAACTTACCCTATGAAAAAAAAAGCTGTGCACTTAAAAATAATGAAATGCTTTCAGTAACATATAAAACGTTGAAGGCGAAGGATGTGCTTGTTGTTTTTCCGCTTTTTTTTTTAAATTTTAAAATAATTATCAATGAAAATATTAATATATTTTTTTGATTTTTCAAATATATTTTCTAAATTTTACCTGCTTTATAATAAGTGTGAATTTATTTTAATATTTCTTCTCAAAAATAGCCACTTCGATTTAAAAAAACCCATATAAAATAAGGTCGTGCTTTCAAGTTTCTCTCTGAGCATTGGGACTTGTTAGATATAAAGACATTAATTGATATTGTAAAAATTGTATTCCAAAATATGTCAAAAGCTTTAGCAGTTTTTTTTACAATGTAAAGATATTGAAAGCTCTGAGACGGTACTACAACCTTATTAATACCGTACTTAAACTTTTTATAAGGCATTATTGAAGTCACTGATTGTGTACAATGAAACTATACACTGTTGTATGCTGAGTTTAATGTTTTATATTGTATAGAGTGTTATATATTCAGTGGATAGCTTTATTATGTCTTCACTTTATTTTACCGTACATAGTAGCGGTTAGTAGATCAAAACAATGTAAAATAGAGTAAAAAAGGCACATTTTTTTCAAAATTTTTGGGAAATGTGCTAAAAAATTATCAATAAAATAATATACAATTTTCATGATTACGATAATTATTTTTTAATTCAAATTTATAAACAAATAAAATTATTGTAACAAATTAAATAATAAATTATCAAAATTCATATAGAAAAAATTTAAATCATTATTTAATTTGTCAAAATTATTCGATGTTAATAAAAAGTTTTACTTCATATTCGAAGTGTTCTTTGTTTAAAATAGAATTTAAAAACATTATAGGATCTATACGAAAAGGAACATAACCTTGATCTTTTTTCTGAAATTGAATTAAAATGAAAATGTTCTTTCTGATTCGGCATTGCTAATAGGAATTGAAAAAATTTTGGTACTTAGTTTATATAAAAGTGGAAATTGAGCTTTAATTTCAAATCCACCATTGAAGAGCGTCAAAACCATCATGCATAAAAATAAACATATTTGAATATGACTTAAGTTCATGTTCAATGCGCTGTTCTGAGGAATTTATATTTCTGTTGCAAATAAAATCACCAAATACATTTATGGATTTAGTTGATAAATCAGACGTATTTTCATTATTTGGTTCATTAGTATCTTGTCAATAATTAACAATCAATACTTAACATTTTTCCAAGACCATATTTACCTCTTCTTAGTTAAAATGGTGCATTTTATTGCAGATTGAAAGATTAGGATATATCACCGATTCTATATTTTCCAAAAAAGTTCCTTTTAATCTTTTTAAAGATTCTACATCAGAATTACTAGCAATACTTTTTTCAAAAAATGTAAATATGTATGTATGTACATATATGTTAATGAAGAGTTATGTAATTAGTTCCTTCTATTTTTCGACATATCTGCAAAATATTTTAGGAAATATCTTATCTAAGTTAGACTACTTAAAGGTAGCGTACTAATGCTGGCTTCGTCTCTTTGCACCAAAATATCATTAACTGAGACCCAACTTTTTTTCTATAGAAACTTGTAAGTAAAAAACTGTACTCCATCTGGTTGGAACATAACTTTTTATGCCAGTGTCTCACAAACTATTTAGATAAGCTTTTTTAAAATATCGAGCAATTGTTGTGCATGTTTTTATCATGTTATCTATTTCTAAAACTTGACTACAAGACTTTTCTATCACATTGTTTAATAAATTATTTCAACAATTTAGTCTTTGACTATGAGGAAAGGCACTAATCATATTTCTCTTTCGATCTGTGACAATTATTATATTGCTATCAAATTGAACATTGAAACCATTAAGATGCTTGAAATTTTTTCACCTAGACATAAAGTTTACATTTTTTACACAATATGTAAAATTGTTACGTATTATTGTTTCTAACTAACCTGTACATCTATCGTTATCCATTGTTTGCATTCCTAGAACACGATTTATTAAATTCCCGTTTGATATGTAATGGACAGTTACGCAAGTGTAAGTTAATTTTAAATGATTTTCCGTCCATAAATCTGTTGTTAAAGGAAGTCCAATTTCCTTTACATTATTTATTTCCTCTTTTATTTTTGCTCTATATATTTCATTTAATTTTAAAATATTTCTAAATATTTAATAATTGTTGTTGGGTGCGGAATCAATTTAGTGACATCGATATTTTGTCCTAAATTTGCTCCAACAGATAAAACATATTTTATTAAATTACGAAAACTAATAGCCTGTGCTATTAAAAATGGTACTAAAAACTCTGCTAAAACTAAGAACAGATGATCAAAACACGCTTCCTGTGGGAGCAAAAATAACCGATAAGTATGTAGATGATGGAATGTCAGGTAGCGATACAGTTGAACAAACCGTACAAGGCATATTATAACTTGTAAACATCCAAAAAAGGGCTGGCTTTAGACTTCACGAATGGGCAGGTAATAACTCACAACTCGTAAACAATACAATGCCGACAAAATGCGTTGAAATGGAAAATACACAAATTGAGTCACGTAAAACAGTAGGAATACGATGGCACCCAAAAGAAGACGAATTTAGAATAATCGACCTTTCGAACACACCAAAATATATCACAAAAAGAGTTACACTCTCTGAAATTTCCAGGAATTTCGTCCCACTTGGGTGTTTGGCACCAGTTGTATTAACCGCAAAAAAGTTTCTACAAGACATATGGAACAAAAATGTTGATTGGAATGAGCTATTACCATCACGTCTACATGATAAATACATCAATTTTTGGAAACCAATTGCAATTTATAGATCATGGGTTCTGTAACGCTTCAGGTAGAGCATATGCCGAAGTAGTATACTCACTACTACACCAAAACGGTCATGTATCAACATTAATCACCGCCAAAACAAAATTAGCATCGCCTTCGCAAAAACTTTTAATTCCGCGACTAGAACTGAAAGGATTTAGAAATAATAATAATGAAAACTAAGAAACTTACTTATGTGTAATAAATATAATTTTTTACTTACATCCATTTTATTTAACTTTCTTAAAATTTATGTTAAACAAAAAAAACTTGAATTTAAACGGAAAAATTGGAAACTTGTTGCACATTTAATATTCATTAATTTAATAACGCACACTAAAAACATCATTGCACACGATAATTACATGTCTGTTTTACGAGATTTTCATATACACTATTCGAAAATAACAATAATAACAAGTACTTCATGCAAAAGTTTTTTACACCGTAAAACGTGTGTCATATTCCAATACGAAATAAGAATACTGTTCTTGTTATAATATTTCATATTG